TAGCGCACTGCTGCCTGGCTAAACCCTGGTGCTGCCAAGACAGCTGCCATGTGGAGATCAGGACCTGTCCCAATCCACATGTGGCTGGGAAAGATGTCCTGGCAGCCGGGACTTCTGAATCCCAGCCACATGTGGATCAGGATGAGCCCTGGGGCTGGCACCCAGGGGAGTCTGGAGCTCTTCCTGGCTCCTACACGGGGACAGAGCAGAGTGGGAAGAGCCCTAGACTGGACTGCTCCTGTCAGGCACAATTCGCTCCCAATGGGGGCCCATGTGTAAGATGTGTGCCCCGCAGCACTTTGCAGAAAATTCAAGCACATTAACTGCAGGTGTAGACTTGACCAGAATCCCTCAGCTGTGCTCAAAACAAAGGTCCCACGAGGCTTTGCCACTGCAGCTGCCTGCCATTCACAGATGACAGCATTCAACTCAGTCACTGATCAAATCAGGAAGGAATCAAAGCTGGAAGTGCCAAGACAAACCACTACCCAGACCCATATGCTCTCACAATACTTTCTTTGTGTTACCTCCCAAGCTATCAGCTTGCTGGACAGGATGGGAGAATTTACCACATACCATTTTATGGGTCCAAATCAAGACTTTCAATCCCAGAATTGGATATGAACTTCCCCAGAGTTTTCAATGGGATGGACGGGCCTCTAGAACCAGTGACCATCTACCATCAACCACCACTTTACATATAACAGAGCTTCCAAATATTAAGGAAATTAATGAAAGGTTCAAGAACAGGAAAATGCCAAAAATGCCTCAAACCACAGGTTGTATTAGCTTTTCCTACCCTGCTCGCCTGCTTTTTCTCTTTCTTCAGACACAATAGCTCTTGATCTCCCTTGAACTCTCATATACCCCGTTTCACTCACCTTCTCCGGTAACTTATTCCATATGTTGGATATTTGGTATGAAACAGTCCTGCCCAAGTGCCTCATTTATTTCTCTTCTCTCCTTTGAACCCTGTTCTCAATAAAAACAATTTATCTTCATCAGGTTTGAAATCTTCTGTTGGGTCACCTCAGGGTCTCTTTGCTCTTTTCCTGCTCCTTTAAACTTTTCCTTGCAACTTAGCCTCTTCAGACTTGGTACCACCTTGGTTTTACCTTATGAAGTACCCTCTCCTAGCAATGCAGCTTCTTGCTCAAGAGAAAATATGTACTGAAGAGCCAGTTGAGCATGTCTATCTAGGAACATGATCCTAGCCCTATATTAAACCTTTCCTGGTTGGTAAGGAAAGTGGCAAAGACAAAATATCCGTATATTTAACACAGGAATGCTGGAACGGTTGTCAGATTTAATGATACTAGCCACTGATCCACTGATCTACAAGTGCATCGCTATGAAACTTCTCCCTAAAATTTGAAGAAGGTAGTGGAAAAAAAACAGAAGTATTTTATGGTCCAAAGCACTTCTGTAAAACGCAGGAGTTGCTGACTGGTACTGACTCATCATCATGTACAGAGCAGGGAAACCGGAAATCAGGACTTCTGAATCTAGCTACTAAGAAAAGACTCCAGCAGTGACAGAAGCCAAGGCAGATAGTGAAAGAGGAACATCACAGAGGGCTCCTGCCTGTCTACGCTTAAGAACGATAGGGAACAGAAATCAAAAGCCCAGGGAGACCAGGCCAGGGCCAACAGTGATGTTAACACCCACAGTTAACAGCAACTTGCAAGTATAAACTGACTGATACAAAAACCCAGGTTCAAATGATAAAGGGACTCGCAAAAACCTTCATGTTTTGAGGACATTTGATCTAGTCTCTTAGGTTATAGACAAACAATCAAAAGAAAACCAGTTGATAGGAGGCACAAACTTAGTAAACTGCTTATATGCAACCACCATTACCTCCCGGTAAACAAAAGATGAACTGGGGCAAGTCGGCCCAGTGTACAGCAAGGGTACACTACCCTGGCTTAGCTTGCACTTCCCACCAGGCACATAAACAGTTACTGCAACCAGTTATTGCACCAGTTGTTGCTTTAGGTTGCTCATTTGTCCATATCGTAAGTCCACAGTGGGTCCTTTACTGGGACTGCCAAATTCTGGGGAGGTTTGAATCCAGACCCAGAAGCAAACTCTGTGCATCTCTAAATAAAGCCCAGAGGTAAGAAGGCCTTGCTGCAGAGGCACAGGGATCGAAATGGGAGGGTCAATCTGTCACACAGGGAAAAGCGAATTGAGCACATCTATCTAGGGATGTGACCCTGGCCCTGCTGTTGCCAATGGCAAAATTTCCACTGACGTCAGTGGGGCAAAGATTTCACCCAAGGAGGTTGAACAGGCTTTTTTATCTAAAGCAATGGCTGCTCCATGGCTTCCTTGAGACCCTGCATGGAGGAGAGAGGCAAACCTCCACAAAGGATGGTGGTGGCACCTTTGCCTGGGCCAGGTGAAGGTGGCAGAGACTTGACGTTGGGCAGCAGATGAAAGCAAATAGCACAACGCTCAGGATTACCCATACAGACTGCCTTGCTTAATGCCTCCTGCTACAGCTTCAGCTGTCTCCTAAGTTTTTGCTGCCGACAAGAGGGACTTGAAACCTTGTCATGCAAGAAGAGCCCACCACACCCGGGACACAGGTGCACCTGAGATGAGCTTTTAATTGCCACAAGTAACTAAACAACTAAACAAGTAGGATGGGTGCAAACCCGCCATCCACTCAGACCTGGAGCCTGGAACCAGGGTTAGGACGAGCCCTCTCTCGGACCTAGTTCAAGTTGCCTGTTCGTTTCTTGCCTAGCTGCTCATCCAGGCCAAGAACAACTTCTCCTTACAATCCTAGAGCATCCTACCCATCCTGCCACCCAGACCCAGGACACCACACTAGTCCAGTGAGTGCCCAGGAGCCCTGTCTACAATAAACTCTTACTGAAAAGTGCTCACTGCTGATACTGGCACTACAGTAGTGTAGAGAGCCCATCAGGTCTCTAAGCACCATGTCATGTATGTCAGGAGAGGTCTGGAGGCCTGATGGTTGAAATGCTATGTCCTGTTTGCACAAGTGCTCCAACAACTACTGCTGGGGGTGGAGCCATGGTGGAAAACCTGAAGAAAAGTTGGTTGTGACCAGAGAAGGGAGGCACCCAGTGTGGCTCCCACACAGGGATGCATGGGGTTTGCCAGCTGCCAGACGTTGGCTCTTCTCCCCATGAAGTCATGCAGCTCCATACTGCTGCCTCACTCCAGCGGGAAGGTTTACCCTCCCATCCCCCTGCTTTCCCCCAACCACGAGCTCACCTGTCCCTTTCCACCACTTCCTACTGGGCCCCCCTCATTGCCTTCCTTGCCTTTCACCTGCCCACCTTTTCCTCCACTATGCTGCCCCTTTCCCCACCCTCTTCCCCTCCATGCTCTCAACCCTTCCTACTCTGCCTCTGCACATGCTTTCTGCCCGGACTATCCCTAGACCCACGCTCCACACCAGGGCCATGCTTCCCGCTCCCTCCCTCTTCCCCGCACCCACCCTCCCACTGTCCCAGACTCTCCACTGTTGCCGCCCCTTCGGGCCACACACTGCACAACATTAACTAAAAAAAAAAAAAATGACAGGAGACATTGGACAGCATTTCACCTCATCATCCCTGCAGGCCCCAGCATATTCTTTTAACCCCTCCTCGAGCAGACAGTTTGCCGTCTGCGGACCTTAGTATCTGCTTCTCCCCCCACCCTTGTGACCGTGATTCCTATTGCTCCTGCCGGGAAGGTTCGGATCATCTCTAAGTCACTCAGCAAAGTGGAGTTTGATCTTTGACCTTCTGCTTTCCCAAAGCCACGCAGGGCTTACCCCTGCCAACAGCAGCATTTACCATTTACCTTTTAGTCAGGAAAAATAACCCACGGCCCAAATACTCTTTGCTGTGGGTTAAATTTAAGAGCCACGGGAAGCATGAAAGGCGCAAGCTCACTTGCCAAAGGCCAATAAAATAACTTGCTAACTACTGGCCACCTACCCCAACACAGTTCACTTGCAGTAGAAATGGAAATGAATCAAAACCCCAAGGCCCCCAGCACCAAAGTTTTTCACACTTTGTCTCGCAGACCCACAGCATCTTCAGAAACCATACAGAATGAATGTTAGTACAAAACATTAGTATGCTGAATAATACTAAAGAAAAAAAATGGCTCAGAGCTCTGAAGTGTGGCTCCAACCTGGCACCAGGAAAAGCTGGATTCAAAAAGATAGAAGATAAAAGGGGGGACCAGTATGGAGAGCATCCCCCTCGGAGAAAAGGAGACAGAAACAGCAAGGCATCATGCTGTAACACTTCCTCAATTGGCTAGTGTACAAGACTGGGACAAAGGGACAACCCAAGAGAAGGACAGGCTTCATTGTGGCATCGCAAACCACCAGCATGCATGTGTGGGGAAGATGAGAAACGCTCCTATGTTTAATTGATTTGGGGAAAACTTAACAAGAAAGTGCGATTAAAAGGGGGAATTCAAATCGTTTTGCCACCAGGGATCAAAAGAAAAAGGCTTTCTCATTCCTCTGCAGAAGCACAGCCCAGGGAACTGCATTGTTGGGATAGGATTTGAAACACACCAAAGACAGCTTCTACAGCGGCCGTCTGTGTTGACACAACTTGGACACCGATGTCAGCTTTCTGGGTTTTATTTAGCCAAGAGTTCCCTGCCATCACACGCCAGTCTCCCCTTTTAAAAAAAATCCAGATGCTACATGATAATACAGGTGTCACCGACGGAAAAAAATGCAGAACGCCGGGGACACGTCAATCTAGCCTTTCCCCACAACCGAATATCCCACCCAGCATCAAAAATCTTGGCTGATCTCCTTCCCTTCAATCCAGCCGGCAGCTGTGAAAGGCATGGGAATCTCGAAGATAAACAGAACACATGGCTATTTATAATGTATATTGCAGGCAGCTTTAAGAAAAGCAACCATAGGCCATTCCTGTCCCAGCTCAACAGCACACGATAAGGCACCAATTACACTGACAGCCTGACAGCAAAAATAAAGGCATTACCTGCAGTTTGTCCTGTCATACTGCACCCGATTGTCCACCTTCAAGGTCTAGTATTGTCATCAAAAGCAAACCCCCTTCTGGCTTAGTCCATCTGCAGGCTTCCCATTCTCCCTGTAGAACAGCTTCTGACCTCCAATCCTAACATTAGTAGCTTGGATGCTTCACTGCCTCCTTGCTGTTCCCTAGCCCATGTCGTCACCAGGTTTGGCCTGCTCTCATTGGCTGGGTGGGAGCAGATAATAATACTACTAATAGCACGGAGAGGGCTGGAATACACAAATCTTTTGTTTCAAAGCAGCCTGCGCAGAGAAAGCTGAAGTGGGAGAGGGAATCTAGAAACTTGAAGAAAAATCACACAAGGCAGCTGCAAGAAACTGCTCACAAGCAGCAGATCAAAAAAAAATCAAGTGCCCAGCCCCAAAATGTACACACAGACCGAGACAAAGCTTTACATGCAGTCTCATCCCTTTCACTCCTGTCTTTATTCTGAAAAATAAATGACTCCTCATCCCAGACTATTTTCTATGCTCAGCCAAGGAGTGAATAGTGGGACACTGTATTTCTTACCCACTGTTTTCACACAAGTTCAGTGTGATGGTGAAAGGTCTGCTTCTCTATACAGGTCCTATGTTTCTTTCTTGCACGCACAGATTACAGACAGAAGCACTGTAAACTTCTCCCACAACCCACAATGATACGGCAAAAGAGTGAGGTCTTTTTAGCTCTTGCAATCTTTGGTTTTGATCATATTGAAGGTACATCTAGCTGACAGCTGTAACTTTGGTTTGCATCTTAGACTGTGACACTGGTTTCTTGTCATGCAGTGAAAGGATGAAAATATCAGGAAACTTCATTTAGGTTCCCAGAAAACCCTTTAGCTAAACATCATGCCAAGTCACTGCTGAATTCTATGCGATTTTGCAGCAATAATTTAATTCTGCACAACCCTCTGGCCAGTCTGGAACAAAGTGAACACTTTGATGCAATAAGCCACAGGTTAGCCTCAGAAGATTCCCGTTTCCCATTTTTTTTTTTAGTGTTTTTCCTTTCCCCACCCCCCAGTTGAGGATTTTAAAGTGCTTGAAGAATCACATCTTCCAGGATAGTCTGATCTAAGTTACTGTTTCCCCCAAACCAAATAATTGAATTAATATATAAACACAATAGTTGGAAAAGCAGGAACTCATTCTAGTTTAGTGACAATGACCTGAGTCTAAAAAATCATAAAATACAACCACTTTTTCAATCTCTAAAATGAATCCACCTCGAGGGTGAGGCATGACAATTGTTTAACACACTTATGCTGCATAACACAATAGTTTTTGGACAGGAAACAAAGACTACCTTTTCCTAGTTGAAACCTGGGAAGAAATTTAAGCAAACCGAAGGTAATTACCCAAGCTAGAATAACAAGCATTCCCAGTCCTGCAAAGTGCCTTGTGATCTTCAGTGACCACATGTGATCATGTCTTAGTTTTACAATTCATTCAAAAGACTGGCTCCTCAAGTGAGGACACCATGCTGAGTCACTGAATCAATAATGACCTGGAAGAGCAGCCCCTCCTGAATCATTCCCACCCCTTCCTATTGCAAAAGAGGTTTCTCAAAAGTCTTTTTTTTCCTAGTCCTGCTATAGCATAATGCTACTTAGTTTGTGAGATCCAATATGCTCACAGTACAAGGTATACGGCAAGCTGGTATGCCTGTTCCCAAACCAGAGAGAGAGATGTTTGGTCAACCTTGCACGGATAGTGCCAACATTCACCAGGGGCAAACCTAGCAACTTTCTGGCAGTGCAAGAAGGAAATCCCTTCTCCATGCTACAGGCAACAGGGGACCGGTTGTGCTGGTAGGTAATTTAAATAGGAAGAAAATGGGGTCAGAACACAGGGAAAGTTTTCAGGCCTCATGGCAGCTTGATCTGAATGAATGCATGAGAAACTGTTTCTCTCTTTCTGTCCCCGTAGGATGGGATTTTTAAAAGTACTCAAGCCAGCTGTCTGAATTTGAGCCAGCCCCTTCACAGAGTTTCCACTGCAGTCTTCAACGAGAGAGGTGCTCTGGTACTAGAGTTATGAGTGTGATAAGTGACTACACTAGACTAGACGGGCTGAAGCTTAGTAGCAAATGAGAGGCATGAAGATGATAATGGAACAGACTTAGTTCTACATAAACTTACCCCTGCAGCTCTCCTGAAAGCTTACCCCACTTTCAGCAGTCTCCCTTTCCAATCTTCAGGAGAAGATCCTTCACAGGGAAATAAAGGAAAAGAAAGAAGGGAAATTCTGGTGCAAGGAGAGAGGGAGAAGTCATCACTATATGGGACCTCAGAAAGAAAGGAGATCTTGGGGTAAAGAACAAAAGCAGGAGAGGGAAGCAGATATGGGAGAATGAGGGACATAACCAGATACAAGAGGGAATTAGCAGCAAAGAGACTGCAGGAGCAAACAGAATCAGCACAATCCCTCTGGTCACATTATACCATCCTTCTGGCTAAGGGGGATGAGCAAAACCAAAAAGAGAAAAATCACAAAAAAGTGGAACTTCACTGGCACACAGGCACTCTGGTCCTTGATGGGGAAGGTCTCCTAAAAGCACATCCATCGTTCCCACCCCATTATTTCTGAGGCTCACACACTTACCTGGAAAGGTCCCTGTATGCTTCAAGGCAGACAGACAAAGGGAACATCGCTGTCCTTGGTATTCCAAAGGGTTAAAAGCCACCCGCCCCCCCCCCCCCGCCGCAATGATTTCATGGCCAGGGAATTTGGAAGGCCCAAGGGCACTGAAATTCTGCTTCTCAGGCTGGACTTGCTCAGCAGGTAGGACCCTTTGGACAGGCCTGGGCTTTGACAGAGACAGAATCTAGCTTAACTTGATCCCCACAGCTGTGCTGGACCACCAAACAACTACCTCTTTCCTACAAGGTTGGCACGGGAGAGACAGTTCCCTGCTAAATATCCCCCTTGCATGCAAATGCCTGGCAAGCTTTTTTGGTGCAAAAGCCTGGCAAGGGAAATGAAAATGCAATATTGAGTTGTTGTGCATCTAAAGACTAAAGCTAGAGGTGGCATTTATGCTTGGCCTTCTTTACCAAACACCTCAGTCAGCCCAGCACTAAGCCCCAACCAGGTAAGTGGCTGAAGCCCCAGGTCACACTCCCTAGGACTCTGTTAGGGGCCAATTTTGCCCCTGAAGCCTGTCAAAGTAACCTGCTTTAAACTTGAACCCCAATTGTTGCACCACGTGGAACAGTTGGAGTAACCAGAGCACAGGGTGCCTCAGACACATCTCACCAGCTGTCCCTGCCACATCTGCTGTGGCAGGTGGCACACAACTGACTGCATCTACTCAACTCCTGCTGGCAAGAGCCCAGTGGCTGCTTCTAGACACCAACAAAGTGAGGCCCTACAGTAAAAACCTCCTCACAACTATATTCAGATGTCCCCAATGTGATGCGCTGCGGTGGAAGGAAAGGACAAGGGATATACTGGCCAAACACAATAGGGTAATTGCCTATATCTCTGCAACATATCTGGGGACCTTTAAAGCAGTAGCACAGAGGGCACAGAAGGCACAGCTCATGCTGCATGTCTAACCTGATAAACCCTAATGTAGTGGATACGTAATAATTATAATGCTCAGCACTTTCATTGCTTTAAATTCTTGGGGACTCAGTGTCCCCTGAAAAGACTCAGCACTCCCCGGAAGTGATTACTGACACCCAGCACCATGTATCTAGGTGCATGCAAGACTGGTAGTCTCCATACAAGAGGCCAAGCACAGGCTCACAAGCTGCTTGCAGGAGCCCAGTATTCACTCAGCTGGGACAGCCATATTGGTGAGTGCTTTTAGGCAAAGGGGTCAGTGTCTGCTAAAAACAGACAAATTTGTGCTTACCCGATTTCCACAGTGTCAGAATTCAGGAAAACTCAGTAACCAGAAGGCAGAAGCATCCTCCCTGGAAATCCTTGGGTCAGTACTATTCTAATTTATTCCACGCTAATTGGATCCCTGGTGCCAGGCAGAGTAGTCCTGGCATGCCAAACCTGAGGCTTAATGCCACTGAGAAACCCCTCTTCTGGCTTCCACTAGGCAGCAACCTCTGGCAGGGCTGGAACTGCTCTGACAGTGTTTAACACACCTCAGAGGCAAACCTGATATACTTGCTGCAGCATAGCATGGCTGCTGGATACTGGGGGAAAAGAGGTTCTTTTTTTTTTTTCCCCAATCTTTTAATAATCTATAATAATCAGTAGTAGCTCGAAGAGATTTGGTCCTGCAAAGGAAATCAGTGGTGAGGACTATTTTTCCCCAATATTAAAGAAAATAGCCAACATAACTGATCTGGGTCCTAATGACTGAATGGCTGTTAGTATTATTAGCAGCAGCCAGCATTTTGATTGGATTGCACAATCCTTCTCCTGCAGAAAACGAGCTCTAACCAAGCCTGAATTACTTAGCTGAAATGCTGTTGGTTTTCTGGTGGGCTGGGTTACACATTTGCCACTTCCCCCACCAGGCAGCGTGAATCTAAGTCAGCAGCAATGAGGTTGGAAAAGGATAACACTGCAGGGATGGTTTAGCCACCCTGCCTAGCCTGCCGAGTTGGGTTGAGCAGAGGAGAGAAAAAGTGACAAGGAGGGACACTGAAAACTAACAATTAAATTTTTTGGACTGGTTGGACTATGATGTCATGGTTTCCCAGCTTCCCTGCGATTGGCTGATGGGTTGAGCATCTGCTGAGAGCTAAGGGCTGGTTACTTGCCTGGAGGTTCAGACCTTTCAGAGCAGCTTTGAATCATGGCTGGTTGTCGTGACAACCTGGATAGTGTCAGCTCCTGATAACCGAATAATGAGGTTGTCACAAAAAGGCGTCCCACCATCAGAAAGGTTTAGCGATCATTAGTGCATCTGAGGGAAACGTGCAAGCAGAAAAGGTAGGGGGAACGTTTGTCGCTGCTGGAACAAGAACAGCCGGCCTGGCACAGGAGCTTCATTAGAGAGGAAACACCTAACCACACACAGCAATGGAAACAAGTTAGGTTGTTTAACAGCGAGTGTGCCCTACAGGCTCCATCATGAGACCTGGGACCTGTGGATATCCAAGCAGAACGAGGAACTGACCTGCAGCACCTGCAGGCAGCCCCGACCAAGCGCCCGATGTCTAGACCCAGCGGAGCGGACAC